GTGGGTGAAATGAGGACCCGAATTATTGTTGGGGGCGATATGCTGACTCTGTAAACCGCTTAGAGAGGGCTGAAAGCCCTATGAAGCGGTATATAAGTCTAACTGCTATTGCTATAACTGCTATTGCTATAATCAGAGGTGTTATTTACCACCTTTGACTTAGAACTACTCAAAATTTCTTAGAACTACTCAAAATTTCCACTACCGGTTCTCCAGAACTGATAAGAACCTGCTGAATACCACCTCTGGTACAGAGTTAGAAACTATTCCACACATACAACCAACAGTATGGATTCAGTATGTAGATAACACTTTCATGATAAGAGAAAATGAACGACCAGAGAAGACAAACAACACCTTCAAGGAAATAGCATTCACAAGGGAAGAAGATAACAACATGTCAGTCTCCCTGAGTATCTTCAGCAGCCAAGGAAACAATAGCAAATTAAAAACACAAGTTAAGGGGGGGGGGACACCAGCCCCAATCCACATTAACCAAATGCTCGATTACTGAAGTAACCAAAGTAGCCAATCTCCCCCCCCCCAAAAAAAAAGAACTATGAAGAACTGAGAACACAGAAACTGCAACAACCCAGAACACCAGAAAAGAAGGCAGATTGCATATACAACATATTCCAAAAATTATGATACCGACACAACTTTATCAAAATGTGCCTGACCCACTCCAGGATAACCAATATAACCTAGGAAAAGGATAACATATCAATACATGAAAAATATTTCAGAAAAAGCTAACAGACTATTATAACCACGCAACGTCACCATAGCTTATAAACCAAATTAGCCCTCCAAAACATCATAAATAAACCAAAATATACAATAGCCCAAGAAGAAAAGTCATCTACAGATGAAGATTTAACTGCATAAAGAAGTAGGCAATCGTTTGTCTGAAATGGTATAGGGTTTCCTGAGCAGTGGGACAGCAGGTTTCCTGAGCAAGGAGTTAGACTACAAGACCTCTATTTAATCCTATTCTGCTATTCTGTTAAGTCTACAAATCCTATTTTGATCATCATCATCATCATCATAATCGCAGCGTTCAAATTTGCCAGCTTTGTGAAAGAGGTGAAGCCACCTGCAGCTAGCTGTGACTTTGCTTGGGAAAGAAAGTTAGTACAAAGTCTCGCATGTCCCACAGGGAACCTCCCTATGGGTGCTGGTGCTGCTGCTGCCGGTAACACAACCGGTGGGCAAGCCCTGAATTCAAGGGGTCCGGCTTCAGGAGCAGGTTTCCGTTTCCCTCCCCGCCTCACCATCCCTTCTCCTTCCATACCATCAGAAGGAAACGCGCGGCGCCAGAGCCCCACTTGCGCCGGGGCATCGTAGTCCCCTCTCAGCTTCGGCTGGCTGCTGAGGTTCCCGCCGATCTCTTAACGGAGCCTCGGAGGACGATCCCGTCGTCTTCTCCCCAAGAGAGGCTGGCGGATGCTCCGGGGCAGGTCGCTCGACTGGAGAGTCAACGAAGGTGCGCTGTGATTAAATAATACAGAAGTGAAAATAACTGCTTCCAGGGATGAAGGACTGTGTTTAGCCCCACCCCGCCTTCCCACCTTTTACCTTGATGTCAGCTACGGTTTAAGGAAATACAGGGAAATTATTTACTTTACCCGGTTTTAAAACGCACGTGGAAGCTTAAAACCTGTCTCAACAGGAGAGAAAAGTTAGCAGAAGTTTGCAGAATAACTTCTTCTAGTTGGTCTTCAAAGCAAGAGGATTGTGGAACAAGGAAGGAAGGAAGGAAGGAAGGAAGGAAGGAAGGAAGGAAGGAAGGAAGGAAGGAAGGAAGGCCCTCCAAGGGAGATCCTACCTGGAATTAAGAAGAAATTTCCTGACAATTGAAATTAATTGTTCTCAATTAATCAGTGGAACAACCTACTGTATCTCCGGAACTTGAGGGTACTCCATCACTGGAGGTTTTCAAGAAGACACTGGACATCCATTTGTCTGGAATCATATAAGGTCTCCTGCTTGAGCCGAGGGTTGGACTAGAAGATCTCCAAGGTCCCTTCCAACTTTCTTCTTCTGTTACATCTGCAGAACACCTTTTCATACTGTTATATAGCTACCCCTTATCATTCAGGTACCTAACTTCTGCTTTAAATACTTGTTTGCATATCCTTCATTGGCTTAGCCAACCTCATATCTCCACATGGTTAAGAACCCCCCCCCCCATGGCTAATCTATCTGGGCATAGACTATAGGTAGAGTTCAGCCAACTTAGTACTTGGATGAGAGATCCCCACGCCCAAGGAATACATAAGGTTGAAGACTAGATTGGGAAGTCAAAATTATCTTCTTAAATAAATACATTAGTTATGGTTGTCAAGAATACCTCTGTCCTGTTCTTCTGTTATTGTTGCCAAGAATACTACCTGGGCATGGCCATGAAGTTAACAGGAGATGTGCTTGGCTGAAGGAGACTTGCTTTCCTAGGTTGGAATAGGGTGCTTTACATCAACCTACTCAGCAATCTCAAGATATACGGACTTCAACTCCCAGAATTCTTAAAAATTTCCAAGGTTTCCAATTGTTGGGGGGCGGCATTTTGCAAAGGGTGGGAACAATGTTGTAGTAATATGTTAATCAGTATTCAATTAAGATGGATAATGTCTGTACATGTATTGGTGGGTTCTTTCATGCACCTTTTCTTTTTTAATTTTCTGATTGTCTTGCATTGGGTGTTTTTTTTTTTCATGTTTTTCGGATTTGTTTGCAGTTTTGTATCCAGCCAGCATAATAGATAGAATAGAAATAGAACCATTTCAGATAAATGGTTATCCAATCTCTTCTTTAAAATTTCCAATATTGCAGTATTTACAACCTCTGGAGGCAAGATGTTCCAGATTAATTGTTCTGTTAGGAAATGCCTTCTTAGTTCCTAGGTTGCTCCAATCTCCTAATCATCTTTGTTGCCCTTCTCTGCACTCTTTCTAGAGTCTCCACATATTTTCTACATCATGGCAACCAAAACTGAATGCAGTATTCCAAGTGTGGCCTTACTAAGGTGTTATAAAGTGCTATTAACACTTCATGTGATCTTGATTCTATCCCTCTATTTATGCAGCCTAGAACTGTGTTGGCTTTTTCGGCAGCTGCTGCACATGGCTGGCTCATATTTCAATGGTTGTCCACTAGAACTCCAAGCTCTCTCTCACAATTGAGGGGGGGCCTACATACTCTAGGGCTGAAAAGGAAAGCAGGGTTGGGTTTGCCTATGCTGCCAATGTGGGAGCCTTATTTATGGCTCTGGCAAAGCTCCTCGTAGACAGAGAGGTGGGGGAGCTCTCTAGTAGAAACAGAAGTCAAACACTGGATTCCAAACTTGCTTGTGGTTTATTCTTCCCGGACTGTTTAAGCATTCAAGATGAGGGCTTGAAAATAAATAGGCAGTCTTTGGCTGATTAGCAGGCCGAACCAATAATGCAAAAGCAATGCATTTAAATGTATTCATCTAACAGTTTGTGGATTGTTATGCTCATTTTTTTTTGCACCTGCAAACTCAATGAGTGTTGCAATAAAGACCAGTCCCTTCTTTAGAGGCCTTTAGCCCCTTCTTTCCTTCTAATGTAAGACTTTCCAATCTGATGAAGGAAATTTGTTCTGTATCTGAAAAATCACCGAGTCCCAGGCAGAAGAGAAAAATGGCGGAATCTGTTTATACAGGGTTTGAGAAGGGAAATTTCTGCTGACACTCCCTTCTCAGTTGCACCTTGGACTGAGCAACCTTTGTTAAACGTACTAGCCCTGAATTTATAGGCCCTTATACTCAGGAGCTACGATTTACTTACCAGAAGGTTGGTGTTTCCCACCACTTCAATGGCCTAATGTTTTATGCGGCTCGTTTTAGAAAAGTTAGGTTCCAAAATTGTGGCTTTGTGTGGTAGAGATACACTTAGATAGAGAAGAGCAACAAAGATGATTAGGGAGGCTAAAACATATAAAGAACGGTTGTAGGAACTGGGTTTGTCTAGTTCAGTGTTTCTCAACCTTGGCTACTTGAAGATGTTTGGACTTCAACTCACAGAATTCCCCAGCCAGCATTCGCTGGCTGGGGAATTCTGGGAGTTGAAGTCCAGACATCTTCAAGTGGCCAAGGTTGAGAAACACTGGTCTAGTTTGATGAAAAGAAGGACTGGGGGAGATATGCTAACAGTCTTCCAATATCTCAGGGGTTGCCACGAAGAAGAGGGAGTCAAGCTATTGTCCAAAGCACCTGAGGGTAAGACAAGAAGCAATGGGTGAAAACTAATCAAGGAGAGAAGCAACTTAGAACTAAGGAGAAATTTCCTGGCAGTTACAATTATTTCCTCCAGTAGTTGTGAATGTTTTAAGATGTTGGATAATCATTTGTCTGAAGTGGTATAGGGTTTCCTGCCTAAGCAGAGGGTTGGACTAGAAGACCTCTAAGGTCCCTTCCAACTCTGTTATTCTGTTTCTATTTCTTACCATGGATCAATCTCTATTTATTTATTTTTACTTTCTATGTTTTATCTAAAGATAAAATTACCAGCTTAAATTTGCATCACAATATCTGATATCTTCTACTGAAAGCTAGCAGGAAACCTATTGCTATTCCGAAGCATGTGTTCTTGTCAACACAAGTTCAGGGAACTTATCACCACTCACATTTTATTAACACAATATCATACTTGTCACCCTGACACAGCATTCCCAAAGCAATGGGTTGAAGGTGACAATTTGGAAAGGAGTAATTCACACTCCAGTCAGAACTGCTATGTAAATTTTGATACCAATGTCGCCAAATTTTGTAGTGGTTTAAATGGACTGATATGTTCCAATTACACTTAAGTCATGACCAGAAATACTCAGTAAGGGTCTCATTTTTGTTTGCAAACTGCAGTATTTGGCAGTGAAGGATAGCGGTGGAAATTTCTTCAAAAAGTAAACATTTACAGTGTCCTGGCAAAATGTAAATGAGGCATGTCTGTCTTTGTTTGGGGTTTATTCTATTTAGAACTAGCCGATAACCCGGCGTTGCCAGGTATTTATTTATAGTGGGGAAATATGTAGATCAAATGTAATTTCTAATGTTGGATTTTCTCCCTTATCAGCAGGAGCTCCCTTGTGGAGTACTATGAAGCCATGGCAGCTCCACTGCCCTATACAGTAGAAGCCATTTTACGGCAGTACAGTAGAAGCCATTTTAAGGCACAACATGCTGTATCTTAACAAAACACTCCCCATGGGTTTTAGGGGTGTCTCACTCCCACAGCATTTGTTTCCAGAGAGTAAGTCATCTGTGTACCAAGTTTGGTTGAAATTGCTCGAGGCATTCCACAGTTATGCTGGAACATACACACACACACATTTTTATATGTATAGATTGTCCTTAAATTCCAAGGAAATTACAACAATGAATGAACCAGACTACAAATGTTGGATGAGCACTGCCCCCTAGAGTCAGGAACGACTAGCACATATGTGCAAGGGGAACCTTTACCTTTATTTGCAAGTTCTGTACAGATAATAAGTGGTGTGGTTTTTTTTAAAAAAAAAAAAAATCTGACCAGGGCTGATTGCAAAGTTCTGAACAAAGTATTTATTCATTTTTTTTCAGAGAAAACTCAGAAATTCTGACCACGCATGCTTGTGAACATAGAACATTTTGAGAATCACAGCGACATGATGTGACTTTTGAACGATGCCACGCTTAACGTAATTAAGTTTAAAGACTTAACATGATTAAGTTTAAATCTGATCGAAAGCATCCATGAAGTTTAAAAGAACAGCATAGTTTTCAATCATTTTTGAGGTATCAACAATCAAGTACAGGTAGTCCTCAACATATGACCACAATGGAGTCCAGAATTTCTACTGCTAAGGTGGGTTGTTTAAGTACGTTGCGCCTGATCTTAATGAGCTTTTTTCGCAATTGTTGTTAAGAAAACCACTGCTATTAAGTGAATGTGGTTGTGAAGCAAATCCAGTTTCCCACAGTGACGATGCTTATTGGAAGACATCTGGGGAAGTCATAGGACCCGGCCATTGCTGCAACCATTGTAAATACATCCGATTGCCAAGCAACCCAATTTTGATCACGTGGCCCATATGGTGATGATGCAATGACCATAAATGCAAGGACCAGTTATAAGTCACTTTTTCAATGCCATTGTAACTTTGAACAGTTGCTAAATGAACAGTTGTAAGTTGTATACTTATACATTAAAATCAATTCAAATCCATATTTTTATTTGCTTTTACAATCAAATACCATGATTTCTAAGTTTACTTCTAAGTTTGCTATGGTTGGAGAAAGACAGTGGGGGATAAAACCACAGTATAAATAATTAAGTCAATTTAATTACATAACATGTTTCCCCGAAAATAAGACAGGGTCTTATTTTCTTTTGGAACCCCCCCCCCCGAAATAAGCACTTGGCCTTATTTTCAGGGAGGCCTTATTATTTTGGAGGTGCAGGAGGCAGCGAGCGTGGATGCTGCTGCGTTGCAATATTTTTGGGGAGGGCTTATTTTAGCGCATGCGCTCAAAAGCCCGATTGGG